CTTTGCAGAAAAAGCTATTGAAGGACGGCTTTTCAAAATCACCCTCTTTTCCGTGGAACTTTAGCCATATATTAGGGTTGGGGGTGAGCACCAGGCTAGGGTTTGGGTTTGAAAAACCAGGTGACTTGGCACGATCTTTCTAGTTGGGATGTGTTTAGCATGGGCAGAAATGAAGAGCTGCACAGAATAGTCTATTGAAGGACGGCTTTTCAAAATCACCCTCTTTTCAGTGGAACTTTAGCCCAATACTAGGTTTAGGTGTGTCCACCAAGGTAGGGTTAGAGTTGGAGAAATGAGGTGTCCTGGCATGATTTTGATAGTTGGAATGTGTTAAGCATGGGCAGAAATGATGAGCTGTGCTGAAAAACTACTCATGGACATTTATTTCAAAATTGCCCTCTTCTTAGTGGTACTTTAGCCCAATCTTAGGGTAAGGGGTGAGCACCAGGTAGGGCTAGGGTTGGAGAAAAGAGGTGTCCTGCCATGATTTTGCTGGTTGCAATGTGTTTAGCATGGGCACAAATGAAGACCTGTGCAGAAAAAGCTACCCAAGCACGGCATTTTCTAAATCATCCTCTTTTCAGTGGAACTTCAGCCGTATATTAGGGTTAGAGGTGAGCACCAGGGTAGGGTTAGGTTTGGAAAAATGAGGTGCCTTGGCACGATTTTGCTGGTTGAAATGTGTTTAGCATGGGCAGAAATGAAGAGCTGTGCAGAATAAGCTATTAGAGGCAGGCTTTTCAAAATAGCTCTCTTTTTAGTGGAACTTTTGCCCAATATTAGGGTTAGTGGTGGGCTCCAAGGTCAGGTTAGGGTTGGAGAAAACAGGTGTCCTGCCAGGATTTTCATGGTTGGAATGTGTTTAACATGGGCACAAATGAAGAGCTTTGCAGAAAAAGCTACCCAAGGATGGCTTTCTCAAAATCACCCTCTTTTCAATTGAACTTTAGCCATATATTATGGTTAGGGGTGAGAACCAGGCTAGGGTTAGGGTTGGAGAAATGAGGTGTTCTGGCATGATTTTCATGGTTGGAATGAGTTTAGCATGGGCAGAAATG